CTACTACTACTTCTACTACTACTACTACTACTACTACTACTACTACTACTACTACTACTGAAACCACTACTGAGGCCCCTGAGGAAGCCAACCCCGAAGACAGCACTGAAGAAATCATTGAAGACATCATTGAAGTCACTCCTGAAGAAATCATTGAAGCCACCATTGAAGCCACCACTGAATCCACCACTGAAAGTAGTACAACCACCACAACTCCCACCACCACCAAAGCTCCTCAGCCCCAAGTCCCACCTCGCAAGCCCAAACGACCCACCAAGACCATCACGCTGGGCAGCTACTATGGCTACAGTGGGAGTTCAAACTGGCCCAAGGACTGGCCTTTCAGACGCCACCCTCGCTCTTGAACCAACCCCAGACCCAACTGTTGCTGGTCAGGGGCCCACTTTATTTGCTTAAGGGGTCTTCCCTTACGCAGATAAAGTATTCTGTGCAATGCAACTCCTCAAGTGATCCAATGAACGTAACAGGTGATTAAAATGCATGTACTTCAAATAAATTTTTGTAAAAATGTACAAGACTTGCGTTGCTTTTGCTTGTGTTGGTGTCAGCTGCTTTAGCACTGGCAAGAATTTTGGTGGTTGTGTTAAAATATGTACTATGGCAGTGTCAAAGAATAACATCGCCCTAGGTGTATATTATAAGGGATGCGGTGGCTCAGTGGCTAAGATGCTGAGCTTGTCGATCAGAGAGGTCGGCAGTTCGGTGGTTCGAATCCCTAGCGCCGCGTCACGGAGTGAGCTCCCATTCCTTGTCCCAGCTTCTGCCAACCTAGCAGTTCAAAAGCAAGTAAAACAATGCAAGTAGAAAAATAGGGACCCCTTTGGTGGGAAGGGAACAGTGTTCCATGCGCCTTCCGCATTTAGTCATGCCAGCCATATGACCACGGAGACGTCTTCGGACAGCACTGGCTCTTTGGCTTTGTAATGGAGATGAGCATCGCCCCCTAGGGCCAGGATGTGCAAGGGGAACCTTCACCTTTACTTTTTAGGTGTATATTACAGGCCACCCAGCCATGCAGAAGAAATAGATGAACTTTTTCATCTATATGCAGGAAACACACCGCAGTAGTAACGAGGGAATTTAACTACATCAACTGGGACAAACACTGCATCAAGTGGAAGACTGAGCAAGCTGACCTATGAGCCTAGCTGACAATTTTGTCATCCAAAAGGTAGACGAGAGAACTAGACGGTCAGCTATACTGGACTTAATTCCAATAAAGCAGAGATGAAAAGATAAAAGGGGTTGAAGTTGCAGGAACTTTGGGGGAGCACAACCATGTTGTATTGGAATTCAATATCACGCAGACATAACCCAACAGAACATAATCGAGCCAGTGTCTCAGACTTTAAAAGAGCTGACTTCTACAAACGTAGAGAGAACTTGGAAAGAATTCCACAGATGAAAATCTTAAAGGGGAGAACAACACAAGAAGCTTGGGAAACTCTGATTATAAAAGCCCAGTCCACCACAATACCACTGAAAAAAGAAAAACAAGAAGGAACCAACGTGGTGTCTTTCCCCCGAGTGAATTGCTGTTAGCCTGGCAGAAAGCTGGGCCATTTGAGCTAGCTGACAAAATAGAAAACTCTGTTGAGAATCATATATAAACATACCCCTCCCATGGCTGTAACAGCCAGTTTCACTAGGGGCCAAAATGCTTGCAGAAGTGTGAAATCTACTGTACATTCAAGACTTCAGGCACAGAAGTCACTGTCTGACTTGGGCCGGTCCTTCTTTCCCAGCCCAATCCACCTCACAGAGTTATTGTACAAAATAACAGAATTGGGAGGGACCTTGGAGGTCTTCTAGTCTAGCCCTCTGCTCAAGCAGGAGACCCTATACTATTTCAGACAAATGGCTACCCAGTTTCTTCTTAAAAACCTCCACCGATGGAGTACTCACAACTTCCAGTGGCAAGCTGTTCCACTGGTTAATTGTCTTCACTGTTAGGAAGTCCCCTCAATTCGCATTTGCTTCTTTCTTTGCTGAGTTTCCATCCGTTGCTTCTTGCTCTCCCTTCAGGTTCAAGTTGACCCCCTCCTCTTTGGGGCAGCCCCTCAAATATTGGAATACTGTTATTGATGGGCTGTCTGCTAAAATAAAGCCACTTCATGGCACACACTTGAAAATAAATCAGGAGGCCTGTCATTGTGGAGTCTGCCTGGCAAGAACTAAGAATGCTTATCCACAGGAGATATGCATGCGTAAATCTTGTAACAATCCTGGCTAATTAAAGAGCAGATGAAAGTTAACACGAGTTTGACAACTTGCAGACCTCAGCTAAAACCTAGGCCTGGAGCAAATCAAATGTGTAGGGATTTCATTAGCCAAGACTTAGGAATAGGGACAGCTAGAGACCAATAGCACCAATTGTAGAATTATTACTGAAATGTTTTTTCGATGATATTTCTTATTATCTCGCTTTGTCCCACCTTCTCCCTTAGAGAAAATGTATAAAACTTGCTCTATCCTTTGTTCTGGGCTCTTGGCATTTTGACCAGGAGCCCCTTTTCCTTGGAGGACTCCAATAAAAAGCAATCAGCAAAACCTGCACCTCGTGTCTGGCGTCCATCATTGACTTCGGCACCGGGCTCAGACCCGAACTGGGGACAACACTATCCTGTCTCCCTTGGTCCTTCTCTTCCCTAGACTGGCCATGCCCGATTCTTGCAACTGTTCTTCATATGTTTTCATCTCCAGCCCCATAATTATCCTTGTTGCTCTTCTCTGCACTTTTTCCAAAGACAACATCTTTTTTTGTAATGTGGTGACCAAAACTGGATGCAGTATTCCAGGTGAGGCCTTACTAAGGATTTATAAAGGGGTACTAAGACTTCACGTGATTTTGATTCTATGCCTTTGTTTACACAACCAAGGACTGTATTCGCTTTTTTGGCTGCTGCTGCACACGGCTGCCTCATGTTTAAAGGATCATCCTCTAGGACTCCAAGGTCCCTGTCACCGTTGATGTTTTTGAGCCAGATTTTGCCTAAACTGGACTTCTTCTATCTTTGGTTTTTCCTGCTTAAGTGTAAAACCTTGCTTTTCTCCACATTAAATTTCATTTTGTTGGATAGGGGTCATTGTTCAAGTCTCAAGATCCTTTTGGATCCTGAACTTGTTTTCAGGGGTGTCAGCTACTCCTGCCACCTTAGTGTCATCTGCAAATTTGATGAGTTCTCTTCTATTCCCCCATTTACAATCAAGATCAAAGGTGGTACTAATACCACTCTATAAAGCCCTAGTAAGGCCACATCTACTGCATCCAGTTTTGGTCACCACATTATACAAAATATTTTGAGACTCTAGAAAGAGTGTAAAGAGCAACCAGGATGATTAGAGGACTGGAGGCTAAGACATATGAAGAACGGTTTCAGGAATTGGACACGGCTAGTTTAGTGAAGAGAAAGACCAGGGGAGACAGGAGAGCAGCCTTCCAATATTTGAGGGGCTGCCACAGAGAGGAGGAAGGGGGTCAAGCTATTCTCCAAAGCCCCTGAAGGCCAGACAAGGAATAATGGATGGAAACTGATCAAGGAGAGATTCAACCTGGAAATAAGGAGAATTTTTTTGACAGTGAGAACGATCAACCAATGGAACAGAAGTTGCCCTCGGAAGTTGTGGGAGCTTCATCCCTGGAGGCTTCCAAGAAGAGACTGGACTGCCATCTTTCAGAAATGGTGTGGGGTCTCCTGTTTGGGTGGGGGGTTGGACGAGATGACCTACAAGATCCCTTCCAACTCTGTAATCTGTATCTGTAAGTATTGGGCCTCTGATGATCACTGTTCACCCACTCCTACTGGGTGCTAAGAGAGTCCAACCCACTCAATTTTCTCTTGTTGATTCATGATGTGAGTTTGGAATCTGACTGAAAATATCCTTCTGACCACCAAATCCGTGGCAGGAAAATCAAACGAGTCTGCCTGCTGCCTGTCAACCTTAGCTGCTAAGCAACCAGGCTCCAGGCCAGCCCCTTGGAGAACTGTCACTGAGGGCTCTCCTCTGGAAAGGAAGCAGAGAACCGGCGTGATGTCATATTGGCTGCGTGCTGATTGGAAGAAGGCGAGCGGTCTGTGGTTTGTGACGTCATGAGGAATGTCGTAAGCCCAAGATGGAACGGAGCACTTCTTGAGACATGTAGGATGAAGCAGTTACCTCTTCGTATTTTGGTCCTTTTTCTGTTATGGTCCACACATGCGTACGATAACAGATGTGGGTGAGTCGTGTCAAATCCAGGGGTTGCTCAGAGGAAGTGGTCGTAATGCTCTACGATGCTTGTTCCTCAGCAGGTGTGGCTTTTCTGGTCATGCCTACTGAATGTCTCCAGATCCATCACCCTGCAGCACTTGGGCCCACAGAGGAAACCCCGGGAGCTTCAGACCTCCCTTACAACAGATGTCCACCCTGTGCATGGAAGGCAGGTTGCTGCAGTCACCCAGGCTTCAATTCCTGTCCACCTTCCCTGTGTTCTGATCTAGGCTTCACAAAATCAGACTCTTCGTCCCAACAAAACCCCTTTTAATTAGGCTAATGTGAATTCCTCTCATTCACATCCAGCAAAGTCCCGGCAAACGGTCTTTCAAAGGTTAATTCCAACCACCTTATCAGGCTTGGAGAGATGCCAGGCCGATAGCTTCCAAGTGCAACAGTGTACAAGAAAATACTTGGCAAGGAGTCTCTGAGAGTCACAAACAGATCTTCACACTAATTAAACGAACTAATTGTCTCCTGCAACCTCCACTCCCCTTTGGCTCCTCTTTATTCCCTATGGGAGGGGCCATTCACTGTCCACCTGTGTCTTTACTCCTGAGTTGACCCTTGTTTCTTAACTGTTCCCTTCTCCTGGCAGCTCTGCACATGCGCACACTGGGAACAGGCTCCAGCTGTTCTTCTGCCCCACTGATCTCCAACTCCGAAGGCAACTGATAACTGTCGGACGGCCCTGGCATGGCCCCATCTCTGCCTTTAATGCAGAGCCCTTATCCGAGCCTTCCTCAGCCTCCAGGACTGGCCCATGTTCCTCCCCAACCTCACTGTCTGAGTCTGCTGCCAGGTTTGCTGGCTTCTGGCAGGCCACAACACCCTGGAACCTACATAGGACTAGCTTGGCCATAAGTAGAAGGAGGAACAATGGCTGTCTTTGAGCAGTGTCCCCATCAGCCATTGCTGTCAGGCGGATGAATGCCATACAGTTTCCCTTGAACCTTTGTGATGGAGAACTCTGCCCTGTTCTTGGTCTTATGTGTTTATTGGGTTCCTGTGGTGGAAAGTTTCATGTCTCCTCCTTCCTGTGGGGTTTCAAGGCAGCATCCATGCCATCTCCAGCATCCATAGCAAACTGTGATGATGCTCAGCTGACGAGCATGGTCAACATGATTGAATTGACAACAAGCCAAATGGATGCATTTGGACAACATGCCAAGTTTGTCTAGTAACATTCTGGCTTAGAGTATAGTACCAGCCTCCTAAGAATTCATTCACGATGAGGCTTCAATGCGTTGCATTGATTGTGCTTTGGTTTTGAGTGTGTTACTCGTTCCCAGTTGCAGATTTCTCCTTTCAGGGTTATCAACTGCTTAATGCCAATGTGGCCATCGATGAGTATGACTCTGTAGGATGGCAGACATTGCTTTAAGCCTCCTTCGTCGGTCTCCTGGCCACCCTGGGCCTCCATTGCATTAATAGGGTCTACAGTGGGGCCTTGTTCCAATTATCTAAGAGGCTATTGCAGAGAGGAAGGAGTCAACTTATTCTCCAAAGCACATGAAGGAGAAGGACAAGAAGCAATGGGTCGAAACTAACCAGAGAGAAGCAACCTGGAATTAAGGAGGAATTTCCTGGCAGTGGGAACAATTAACCATTGGAACAGAAGTTGTGAATGCCCCAATGCTGCAGATTTTCAGGAAGAGATTGGACAACCATTTGTCTGAAACGCTATGGGGCTTCCTGCTTGAACAGTGGGTTGGACTAGAAGACCTCCAAGGTCCCTTCCATCTCTGTTATTCTTGACCTTTTCAGCCCTCTTCTCACAGACATTCCTGCACCACATCGAACTGACCTTTCTCTCTTCCCTAGCGATATCTGTGGCCGCCGTCCTCTGGCCTCCAGTCACAGTAGCAACCTGCGGATCGTGGGTGGCATCGATACGCTCCCAGGAACGTGGCCTTGGATTGTCAGCATCCAGATACCCACCATGACTGGCTTCAGGCACACCTGTGGAGGGTCTCTCATCAGCCCTCGCTGGGTCATCACAGCAGCCCACTGCTTCCTCAACAAAAGGTGAGGGGGAAGGAAGAGCCTCCTGTCCCACCTGGCTGGGTCAGGGGTGTCCAGTTAGGTTTGCAGATAGAGATAGTCAGGCACAAGGAATCAAGAATGGCACGAAGAGTTGCTCAGAATAGTTTCTCTATTGCTGTTTGCCCATAGACCAGAATCTTGCCAGACTAAAGCATCTATGCAAATAACCATCAGAAAAATCCATCCTGAACCTCTTTCTGCATACCAAACACTCAAATCTGGGCTCCTGCAGCGGTTCATTGCACAGTTTAGCCCAGAGGTCTCCAAACGTGGCAACTTTAAGACTTGTGGACTTCAACTCCCAGAATTCCCCAGCCAACATTGGTGGAGTTGAAGTCCACAAGTCTTAAAGTTGCCACTTTTGGGGACCCCTGGTTTAGCCCCTAGCCTCTTAATCAACTTGGTTGCTTTTCTTTGCACACACTCGTTTGCAGGTTTCCTGCATTTCTACACTATCCTTTACATGTGTAGATTACACACATGACACCTGAACAGAGCGAGCTGGGAATTTTCCACCATCCTTTCTTAATTGTTTTCAGACACAAGATTGCAGGCAGCTTCATCATGCTCACCTCCCAGAAGAAAACTATAGCATTTTTTCCCCCAACCTGAGAAATAAGAGAGAGTTTGATCTAGTGGTAGAAGCACCAGGCTAGAAAGTGGAAGACTGAGTTCCAGTCCTGCCTTAGGCATGAACACCAACTGAGTGACTTTGGGACAAATAAAATTGGAGTTCAGAATAGATCTGGAAGGGACCTTGGAGGTCGTCTAGTCCAACCCCCTACTGAAGCAGGAGACCCTATACAGTTTCAGACAAGTGGCTGTCCAGTCTCTTCTTAAAAACCTCCAGTGATGAAGCTCCCACTTCTGGTGGCAAGCAGTTCCACAGATTAATTGTTCCCACGGTCAGGAATTTTCTCCTGAATTCCAGGTTGCTTTTCTCCTTGATTAGTTTCCATCCATTGTTTCTTCTCCTGCCTTCAGGTGCTTTGGAGAATAGGTTGACCCCCCTCTTCTTTCTAGCAGCCCCTCAAATACTAGAATACTGCCAATCACCAGGTATAAGTGAATTCTAGTGCCACTATACCATCCAGTGATGCGCCATCACTGGTGGCTTTTAAGAAGAGACCGGACAGCCACTTGTCCGGAATGGTGTAGGATCTCCTGCTTGAGCAGGGGGTTGGACTAGAAGACCTCCAAGGTCCCTTCCAACTCTATTCTGATTGAATAGTTCATAGGGCTGTAGGATCAAATCTACTCTAAGTGGACAGACTGGTGGCCTGAGCACCTTCCCAGAAGCCGAAAACACACACAGATTCAGCTACTTCTTTTGAATCCTAACTCCTTGTCATAAAGTCCACGAACCACCTCCCTGTGAGCCTTTCTTAGTTTTAGTTTAATCACACATTTTTTTTGTGGGGGGGGGGGCGGGATGGGGCGGTTTTCCATGCACAGTGGTCACCGCCTCCCTTCTCCTTCTCTGCTCCAGATACCTAGAACACTGGAAGCTGGTTTTTGGTGCCGCTCAGCTTTCTCGGCCTGGTCCGGATGTCCAGGAACGCACCATCAAGAACCTGGTGGAGCATCAGCATTACAGAAGTTCCACCTACTTCAACGACGTGGCCTTGATGGAGCTAAGCCACCCAATCAACTGCAGTGACTACATCCAACCTGCCTGCCTGCCGGACATGAATGTAGAGATTTCATCGCTGACCCGCTGCTACGTCAGCGGGTGGGGAGTGACCGATGTCTCAAGTGAGTCCTCCAGCATGTCCATCAAGAAGGAGTCTCTAGTCACAACACAACTTGAGAAGCTGTTTTCTACTCTGGTGGGACTTTTGGGTCCTTCCAGGCCTGAGATGTTGGAAAGCTGTTCAACACAAATGGCTTTTTAAGATTTTAGCCAGCAGGCACTCGTTCTCTCTGAGATCTTCGCTCAACCAGAACGGGGGTTCTTTTATTAGGAGAAAAAATTGGGGTTCCAACTCGAGCCAGGGTTGGGCAGGAGCAAATCAAAATGAAATCCAGACATGGTGTGAGGAAAGGAGATTTATTTATCGCAAAAGCAAAGAGGTTTGCCTGTGGAGGTAGCTACAGAGAGAATGGGGTACAAAAGGACTGCTTTACCAGGGGAGCTTGTGTCAGAGCGTTTGCAGTGTGACTACTCTTGTGAGACAACCCAGGAACAAAACACAGTACACAAAGCCTTAGACATTTAACAGTGGTTTATGTACAAGACATATATAGAAATATACCTGACAAGCAATCAATCTTCTTAACTCTATATGGAGATCTCTGCAATGGATACCGGACACAAGGAGAGAGAAAACATGCCCTCTAATGGCTGCCTTATATGAACACCTCTTAAAGGGGTAAAGCTTCTGTGGACCCATACATAGTCTTAAACCGGCAATATCAATGCTGATTCATCTTCATTGCATCAGCCTTACATTGCATCAGCTTTACAGCTGCCGGTCAGCTCTTAAATCTATGTACCTTAACAGCATGTCCTTGGTCTGGACGTGTGTACATGCTGATTCTAGACTTGAGGGAATGGGCTTGTGTAGGTTAAATGTCATCTGTGGTGTTTACTTGGGTGAACATGCGGTTATGCCGAGAGCCAGTTTTAATTACCTACAGGCAGTCCTCGACTTACAACCACAACTGAGCCCCAAATTTCCATTGTTGATTGAGACATTGGTTGAGTGAATTTTGCTCCATTGTACAACTTTTCTTGTCACATTTGTTAAGTGAATCACTGCAGTTGTTAAATTAATAGCACCATTGTTAAGGGAATTCAGCTTCCCCATTGACTTTACTTGCCAGAAGGTTGCAAAACAGGCTGACATGACCTTGGGACACTCCAACCGTCATAAAAATGAAGCGGCTGCCAAGTGCCTGGATTTTGACCATGTGATCATGGGGATGCTGATGCCGTAGGTCGTAACTACGAGAACTGGTTGCAAGTCATATTTTTTTCCAGTGCTATTGTAATGAAACAGTCCTGAATAGAAGAATCTTCTTGGATGAGAAGTGACATGTTTTCCAACAAACAAACAAACAAAAATCAGAAAGTCCAGTTGCCTTTTGGAAAAGACCTGGATGATGGAGATTTTCCACAGATATTTTTTAGATTGTCATGTTGATGTAAATCATTCTCATTGTGTTTACTTATTGTCCTGTTGTTTTGCTTCTGTTTACACGCCTTCCATTTTTCTTCCTTTTTTGTTATTGTAAGCTGCCTAGAATAGTCTCACAGTGGGGCAGGAGGCAAATAAATTTAATAGATACATTTAACAAATAAATACATCTTTTTTTTTTGTTTGCTTACAGAGCCAAAGGTGACCTCGGATATCCTTCAAGAAGCCAAAGTAAACCTCATCCCCATAACCACATGTAACAGCACTGCCTGGTACGACAAGAAAATCCATTACAACAATCTCTGTGCTGGGCACGAGGAAGGAGGCATCGACACTTGCCAGGTAACAGAAGGAACCATAGAGGTCTTCTAGTCCAACCTCCTGCTCAGGCAGGAGGAAACCCTATAGTGTTTGTCAGGCCTGTCCCAGCTTGGGCCTTTAGGAAAGAAAGACCCTCAACTCCACATGTTGTAGTGAAAGGTATATTTTTACCAGTGGTGGGATTCAAATATTGTTGCCACCGGTTCGGTGGGTGTAGCTTGATGGGCGTGCTTTGCGTGTGTGCACACACTTTGCATGCACGTGTGCACCAAACACACCCTTTGCGCAGGCACAGAAGCATTCTGCCTCCTGCAAACCTGCACGATCCCAGTTGCTTCAGCAGCTCCCGTGCGGCATCTCCTGTGCTGCGCAAAGCAGCTGCGCTTCAAATTCATCAGATAAAGGTGAGCATGGAAGCCTGGGTGGAACAGCAGAGAGGAGGAGAGAACCAGTTCAGCCTCTGATGCTCATCGCTGGTACTGGCTTGCCAGAACTGGGCAGAACCGGTCGAATACCACCACTGACTTTTCCTAAAGCCAAGTGGTTACAGCATAAGCAAAGCCAGATCTGGGACTTCCTGTGTGAACCTGGTATTTTCCCTTTCTCCCAGTCTCTCCCTTCTGGTCACCCTGTTTCTGTCCAATGAGGTTCAAGTTAGTTGTTTTGGTAACAGTCCTAAGGTTTGGCACCACTGGTTCCTGTCAGGCCCCCGTCCCTACATCCCTCTATTCCCACTCCCCACCCTTTGGGGCAGGCTGCTATCAAAGCGAAGTAGGGCTGAAATGGTTTGATAGCAGATCTGATACCATTTCAGACCAATGGCTGCCCAGTCCCTTCTTAAAAACCTCCAGTGATGGAGCACCCACAACTTCTGAAGGCAAGTGGTGAATTGTCTTCACTGTCAGGAAATGCCTCCTTAGTTCTAGTTTTCTTCTCTCCTTGATCAGTTTCCGTCCGTTGCTTCTTGTCCTGCTGCCTTCAGGGGCTTTGGAGAATAGGCTGACCCCCACTCTTCTTTGGGGCAACCCCTCAGGATATTGGAAGACTGCCCTCTGCCTTTGCCCCCTCAAGAGATCTAGGTCCTTGAATTCCATTGACTCTTATTAGCTGCCAGTTTGCCTTGATCGTTAGTAGATCAGATTCTTGTAGAGAACTAACACAGATTAAACTTGAAAACATTTGAACAGCCTGGCTTTCTGATCTCTTGCACCCGACAGTTCCTGTACTTGATGTTCTTCCCTTTTCTTGTTCTGCAGGGTGACAGTGGCGGTCCCCTGATGTGTCGGGAGCACAGGTCCGAGCGTTTTTGGCTTGTCGGTGTCACCAGCTGGGGGGCCGGCTGTGCCAGGGCCATGAGGCCAGGCATCTATTCCTCCATGCAACATTTCCTGAAATGGGTCAAAGACGTGACCAAGGAGAACTTCTCCAAGGCTCCTCGCCCACCCAAAACAAGACCCCCGACAAAGCCGCTCAATCAGCTGTGGCAACCAACCGCCCCCTCGAATGCGAACCAGCAGCTTGAGAGCTGGGTTCAACCCAGGCCAAAGCCAACCATGTCTCCTCCAAGGCCACCTTCGGCAAATGAAATCCAACAGTTTGAGAACTGGGCTGCAGCTCAGACGAGGCCTAGTACGCAACCCACCACACCATTCACCATTCCTTGGACTCAGGAGTTTCTACCATCAGAGCCACTGGTACCGACACTACCCCTACCACCCCCTCCTCCCCCACTTCAGACCCCGTCCCCATGGGGTTCACAGAATGGGCAGAACTGGAACCAAGGCTGGGCTCCAGCTTACCGGCCTCCCCTCAGAACCAGGCCCACCGCAATGCCTTGGCCAGGATATGGTGCACAACAGCCTCAGGCGTGGGACAATGTGGTTACAACCAGGACAAGACCTCCCTATTATGGTGGATACTATCCAAACTGGAACATGGCCAGGCCTCCTCTTCGAACCACTGCCCCTCCAGTGTGGCAGACATGGTCTCGCCCAACGACACCCTTGAGTTACCTCTGGTACTCGAGATGGAGCAGGTCCCCTAAGTAGCTGCAGTGCCTCATTCCATAATCAGCCAGTCATTTTCTGCCTTTCCGTTCCCATCTGTCAAGCAAGCTTCAAATGAATACAGTTTTTTGAGGGGGTCTGCCCCCTCTCTTCCTCCTACACCAAGTCCCAAGCTGGGTTGCCCAAGAGAAGTTGGTCACCTTTTAACAGATTGAAGTAAACAGAGACAGAGACGAGGCACCAGGGATGTTGGAGGTGTGCAGTAGTAAAACTTCCCGTGCTGCAGGATTGGCTGGGATGCTTGGTTCTGAGGCCTCAATGTTTTGGAGGACTCACGGGGAGAGACTACCTGGATAAGGAGACACCTGGATCATTCAGTAGCCGGCTTCATGCCTACCAACTATTTCAAAGAAGAAAAACGACTGGAGGCTGCACCCTTCCCCGGGCTGGTCTTCTGTTGAGCGACGTTTGTAATTCTATATTAGCAATAAAGTGGTGCTTCTTCTAATGGATTGCATGGCTTATTCCACTGCACAATAATGTTCATTTATTAGAGCCTTTAAAAGGTTGGGCTCCTATCTTTCTGGGCCCAGCATCCAGCTAAAATGGAAAGGTGGTATTGCAATAAATGGTGGCTTGTTAAAATTTCAGCCTAGAAAAAGGCGAAGTGCAGGGTGTTGGACTAGAAGATCTCAAGGGTCCCTCCAGACTCTGTTATTCTGTTGAAGTCAAGAAGCAGTGGTTGAGGGCCCCAGAGTTGGTGAAGTGAGAAACCATCAAGCTTTTGGCATAAGATGGTGACTGTCAGGAATGCCAGAGGACAACTTTCTAGCTGTGTTTGATCTTCACACCTTGGACAGAGCCCTGCCTCTAAGTGGTTGACTGGACCAAGCCCACGTGTGAGATGCATTGGCTCCTACTTCCAGATGTTCAGCCTAGATAGAATGAAGTTAATATCTGTGGCAGCTTCTGCGTTGCCAGACAGGGTACAGTTGGCACTCCTGGCAAACCAAGTTCTATAAGGACTTGAAATATAACCTAGTCCCATTGTCTCCTGGAACTCAAACCCATGGAAAATTGCTGTCCTGCAGTCTCCTTGCAAGGATCAGCCATCCAGAGTACATGTGGGTAAGCACCCATCCTCTCTTTATCAGGAGAGGTTCCAAAGAACAGATTTATTCACGAGTTCCTTGGTCCTTGCAGAGTTGTCTTCACTATATCTCACCTGGAAGCTTTAGGTCTCAAATATTCTTCACCAAAGCCCATCTGTTCCAGCTGAATCACCAATTCACATTATCAAATGCCTTCTGTGCATCTAGAAATATCAGAGCCATTTGTTTTTCAGGATGTGCCTCGTAGTATTCCAAAGTGTCCAAGATTACTCTCATATTGTCTTTAATTTGTCTCTTTGGCAGAAATCCATTTTGATCAGGATGGATAAAGTTATTTAAGTATTTTTTAAGTCTTTCTGCCAATATTGAAGCAAAAATTTTATAATCTGCGTTTAGTAGGGAAATAGGTCTATAGTTCTTGATTTGTAATGGATCGGCCTCCTCTTTTGGGAAGTGTAATATAAGCTTCTGACCATGATTTGGGTATCTTCTTTTTTAACATAACTTCATTCATAACTTCTAGCAATGGAAAATTCAACGATTCTTGTAATGTTTTGTAAAATTCTGCTGGAAGTCCATCTGGGCCTGGTGCCTTTCCATTATTTTGCTTCTTGAGTGCTTCAGTTAACTCCATCATCGATATATTGCTTTCTAACATTGTTTCAATCTCTTTAGGTATCTGGGGTGACTTAACATTCTGTAGGTACTGTTTAACTCTTTCCTCATCAATATTCTCTTGTGTGTATAGTTTCCCATAATAGTCTCGAATGATTTCCTTCTTCTCTTTACTACCATAGCAAACTTGGCCTTGATTATCTATTAAATGCAATATTTTCCTTGATTCTTTCTTCTTTCTCAATTTATATGCTAACCATCTACCTGGTTTATTTGCATCTTCAAAGTAGTTCTGTTTAGCACCTCTAATTTTCTGTGCTAATTCTTCTTTTTCTATTAGACCCATTTTATGTTTGGTTATATCCATTTTTAACTTAATGTCCTTTTTCTGTGGCATTTTCTGTAGCTCTTTTTCAAGTCCTTTATACTCGTCCTCTAATGCCTTAGAGGCTAATCTTTTCATAGTATTTCTTTTCCTTGTATAGTCTATTATCAAGCCTCTGGCATATGCCTTCATTGTATCCCATAAATTCTGGATTGATGGGTCTTCTTTTTTGTTTTCTCTAAAGAAAAAAGCCAGTTCTTTCTCCATCCACTGTGTGAAGTCTTTTTCCTTTAAAATAGTATTACTTAATGTCCATCTAGATCTTCTTTGTCCTTTCCATTTAATTGTCATTGGATTGTGATCTGCCCAAGTACTTGTTTCAATATTTATTTCTTGAATATTAGTTAACAATTCTGTTGACATCCATATCATATCTATTCTGGACCATGATAAATGTCTATTTGAGTAGAAGGTGTATTGTTTAGTTTTACCATTTCTTTCTCTCCATGTATCTTTTAAGTTTATTTCATCTACCATTTTAAAAAAAGATTTAGGGAGAGTCTTTCTGTTTTGCTTTATTGTTTTCTGTGCTGTATAGTCCAGTTTATTGTCTACAATTCCATTAAAATCTCCCATCATAACTATATTAGCATAGTCCAGTTCAATTATTTTCATATGTAATTTTTTATAAAATTCTTTTTGATTGTCATTCGGGGCATAGATTGCAATCAGGAGTGTTTTCGTGTTATTGTCCATTATTTCCACCATTAGTATTCTTCCGTTGTCATCAGTATAAATCAATTTCGCTGGGCTGGTCTCTTTAATATATAAAACCACTCCTCTTTTCTTGCATTGTGTCAGGGAAGTAAATATTTTCCCTAATTTTGGCTGTATCAACAATTGTTCATATTGCTTTTTAATATGTACTTCTTGTAGGCAGATTATATTTTAATTTCTCTAATTTATGGAAGGTTTTCCTTCTTTTAATGGCTGAATTAAGTCCATTTATATTAATTGTAATCAATTTTTTCTCTTCCGTGGTTATATTTTGTAGTTAGGTTTGACAGCTCTCATGGATCTTGGTTCACATTGTTCTTTGGCTTCCTCCTTTCCACCTACTGCACCTTCTTCTTTTTCAGTTGTCATTTGGCAGTCCTCTTGGAATTCAATTAGTGAAATTTCTTTTTCTGCATCTTCCTCTTTCCCTCTGAAAAATTCTGTATAAAATTATTCAGCTTTCTCAATTGAATCAATTCTGTATCTCTGTTCTTGCCATGTGAACATTAAACCTTCTGGAATCAGCCATCTATAATTCACCTCTTTTTAAAGTAGCAATTTGGTCAAGAATCAGTATTCTCTTCTCATCTCTCTCACTCTTCTGGGTACTTGTTTCAAGACCACAATCTCCTTGTCTTTGTATTTCAATGTTTTCTCTCTTGCCACTTGCAATATTTGTGTTTTAATGGCTTTCTTTGTAAATCTGATGTGAACTTCTCTTGGTAGGCTATTTCTCATTGCATATCTTGTGAAAACTCGATAGACCTCATCTATTCCATCCATCATCTTCTCTTCAGTTATTTCCAAAGCTTCAGCCAATATTTCTATCATTATCTCAGCTAGATTTTGTCCTTTTTCTTCCTCTATGTTTTGGAATCTAAGATAAAATTCTGATCTGTCCATCTCCCATCGCAGCATACCACTTTTCTCTTGTTCAACCACAGTTAATCTGTTATCAATGTCTCCAATCTTCTTGTCTCTTTGTTTATCTTCTTCTTCAATTTTTTGGAGTCTCTCATCATACTTCATCATCATTTGTTGGATGTTCTCCACTTTTTCATCAGTTTTCCCTGTTCTTTGTTCTATGTTCTCTATTCTCTTTTCAATATTCTCTGATCTTGTTTGAATATTTTGAATTCCTTGCATAATCATCTGCAGGGCCACTTTTTCTTGTTTTTTTTCTTGCCTTAACATTGTCAGTATTGAACGTTGTCCTCCAGATGGTGGAGAGGAAGAAGTAGAAGTTGAGGAACCAGGAGCTGTTAATTTCCTACTCATTTCAAGCAATTCAAAATCTTCAGGTTCTTCTAGACCTTAATCCAATTGTGGAATAACCAATTGCAGTTCCAAATAAAAATAGTAGGAAAAAAAAGCCAAATAGTAATAATAATAAAAAAGAAAAAAAATTCTTCAGGTTCTTGTATACCTTAATCCAATCGATTGGTTAGATAACAGTAAAAATTCAAAAATGAAGGAAAAGGCCATAAGCACACACAAAAAAGAAAAAGTTGTAAAATCCTAAAAAAGGTGGAAAAGTGAAGAATAAAAAGCTAAAAAAAGAAAGGAAAAATTCTTCAGGTTCTTCAACACCTTAATCCAATTAAGAGGTCTCAAATATAAAAGGATGCATAAGAGAAAAAAAAAGGTCAGAAAAAAAAACAAAAAACCCCACCCAATATGGAAGGTAGATGGAAAGACAAAAATGGAAGATGGAAGGTAGATGGAAGGTAGATGGAAAAGAGAGAGAGAGAAAAAGGCTACTCCCTTAAAAAGAAAAGGAAGGGAATCATTAATACTAAAGCTTTTCCTTTAAAATAAAAAGCAAGCATAGAAATTTAACTTCCAAAGACAAGAAAAAAAACCAAAGACAAGTTCCAAAGAGCCAAAAATCCAAATAGCTATTACAAAAAGTAAACTGGTGAGGAGGGATAGCGCAGTTTAGAAAAAATAAAAAGAGCACATTGCACTTTGTTTAGTTATCCAAGGCTCTTGTTATAACACTCTTCTCCAGAAACTTATCACCTTTTCTTTTCCTATAAGCTTCAACACCAGACTCCAGCTGTTGATGGAAACCCAGAAGAGCACCTGCAATAATACTCTCCCATGCTCTTCCCTCTATCTTATCAAATAGCAATGTCCTTGAAAAAAAGTCTCAGTTCTTTCTTTCTCAGCTTTGTCTGATCGCAAGAGAAATATAATATTTCCAAGC